TAAGGTTCTGTCCTTTATATGTTAGGAACTGTCTATGTAAAATGTTCTTAGAGCCTCTTGCTAATCTGGGATATGACCAAGCGACACTATTGTCATGGCTCAGGATTCAGACACTGACTCTGAAGGAGCTGCTCCAGCTGAACCAGTGGAATGTCAGCTTCAGGAGACACCAAGCCATGCATCACCTGAGGCTGATCCAACACAGGCATCATCGGAACAGCTGGAGCAATCAGAGGATGTTGTGGCAGAGCAAAGACAGTCTATGAGGCTCCTTGCCAAGCAAGGGAATAACTCTCTTAATTGAAGAGAGCTGGCTGCAGCCTGATTTAAGAGGCAGTCCTGACCTGTGTTCCTCCGTTGGAAACAACCATCTGATCTCCTGCTTTGGTGTGACATCCTGCTCATGTAAAAACCCTGAAACTCTGACCTTTGGGCTGGCTGACAACCCTGGCTTGGCTCTCTGAATTTCAGACTGGACTCTGACTTCTCTTCTGCACATTCCTGTTGAAAACAAAACTACCCAGGCAAGTTTTCTTTCCCAGAGACTCTGTTTTGATTTACATTCCTTTCCTTGTCAGCTGCTTTTCTACTCAGCCTTGAGGAAATTTCTATTATCACCTAGCAACTGTGTGTGAGTTTGAAACCTGAAACAGGACAACTGTCTAGAGACAAGGAACACCGCTAAGTGCAGTGAAGGAAGGAGCCTTTGTTTGGAATTTCCCCATTGTCAGGCTGCATTCAGACAATGTCCTCTCTCCCGTACCTTTTGCTCCAGATGTGCTCTGCGCAAGGACACCCTCTGCTCCAGCTTCTGGAGCTCCCGCTCGTGCTGTGCTTCTGTCTGCATCTTGATTTTGCTCTGGTAGGCGTTGAGCAGCTCCATCTCTTGCTGAAGCTGCAGCCTCAAGGCCTGGCACTCTGCTTCCTGAGCCTCGTCTAGCCGCAGCTGGAAGAAAATGAATCAAGAGTCAGGGGAGAGGCAGTTCCCTGGTCAGCTGGGGCAATTGTTGGAGGCAAAGAAATAATTTGGATTCAATTGGAGAAGGGAAGGGGGAAGCAGGCGGTTAGAACAAATGTGACATGTCAGAGATGAATAAAGATTCCATACTGGACAATATGTCCAAAGGACAATATGGAAGCTTTCCCCCTTGAATTGCAATGTGGGTTAGTAAAATTGTGTTGAAGTTAGCCCATTGAGGTAGACCAGGTCAGGAAACTGGCCCCATACAAAATACCAGGACTCTATTGATAAAGGCTACAATAACAGAATTTTGAAAGTCTGACAGTGTTTTCCCTTCTCTCCCTTTTATACCAAAGAGAGTCAAGGTGGGCCATCTTGAGTTTCTTCCTCACCCCTCCTGCCTTTCCAGGTAAGCTGATATGTTCATAATGGCTGCCGCACACTTTCTTCAATGCTATCTCTGTACTCCAATGCCACTGTCCATTGGATGTCAAAGTTCCTTTTCCATCTGCATCTCATTCCTCATCTTGCATAAAAGTGGCCCCAAATAATCCACTCTATTTATTCAACTCCCCTGTCCATTTTCCCCTCAAGGTTATTTATCTATTACACACATTTATACCACCACTCAGAGGAACTCTGGCTGGTGAACAGAGATAAAAACATTACCCAAATTGACCAATCAATGAAAGAAAAAGTTGAGGCCCCTAAAAAACTTCAGTGCTAGCATATGCTTGCCCTGCACCTTGGGGAAGACCCAGGCCTGGCAACTCTGCTTTCTCCTCTCCTCCCGCAGAAAAGGCATCCATGTTTTTTAAAATCAACCTTAAAATAGTAAGCCAGCTTTCAGTTCTCCAGATGTCTCCACCATGATCGATTTAAAACACATGGAACTAGGTTGAATGGGCCTTCTTATAGTCCCACTCACTTCCCAGGATCCTCTATAATGCAAAATGTTAACTCCAACATCCCACCAAGATGGCTTCTATATTACTCTTCTTTTAGACGGGGGGCCATTTCCACACAAACCCTGCTCCCCGGGGATTGAAGACCATCCACCCAACGCCAACGCTTACCGCTTGGGACGCCATCATTTCATTGATGCTCTGCTCATACTGCTCGGCCAGGATGGCAAGCTTTCTCGTCTGCTCATCCTTCAGGCTTTTCAAAATAGTTTTGTGCTCACTCTTTGGAGTCACTTCCAGCTGGTGATTCTTGAGCGCTTTGTACTGCTTAGTTTGCACTTTGCACGTGTCTTGGAACTGCTTCTTGATCTGCATTTCCATGGCCTGCAGGGGAGAAGTGAGAAACAACCGACCAATGGCCATTTAAGCTTCAAGGGCCAATTAGGGCCAATATATCTCTCAGCTATTTGATGCTTCTCTACAACTAATATCAGAATAAACTGGAGGGTTGCAGTTTTGGGGAGGGGGCATTAAGGGTCACCCTTCGGTTTTGAGCTGCATTGGGGGGCTGCACTCCAAAAAGTAGGTGAGGCTTACCCCTCTTAGAGTTGCATTTTTTCCTTTTCTTTTTTTTAAATATAATTTTATTAAAGATTTTTTTAAAAGAAGATAAAAACGAACACAAATATAAAGTAAGAAAAAGAAAAGGAGGAGAAAGAAATCAAAGAGAAGTGCAAGAAAGGAAAAAGAAAGCAAAGGAAAAATAGAAAAGAACATTTTTTTCCTTTTCGGCCAAACTAAAAAATAAAGTCCAGCAGCAACTAAATTTGAGAATCAAATAATGAACGATCGGGACAAGAACCCAAGCTAACCTAATTTAAACTGTATGAAAATGAAATGAAGTAAGTACTACTAATATGATTGTCCCCCATGGATTTAATTTCTTCCACTTTCCTACCACATGGTCATCTAAAACTTAGCAGCAACTTTTGAAGGGATTCTGGGAACTGCATTCCAAGTTTTCTTCCCAAAGTAAACAGAGTCAAACATCTCCAGCAAATTCAGGACAGGTGAAGAAAAAAGATCATTTCTGTGGCATAAACACTTATCAAACTTTTATGTTGGGGACGGAGGACCCGGCCTTCTACAAGTTGCCCATTCTATTTGAATAAAAGATATCTGTGGGCTAAAAGAATCTGTGGGCCTGATGGATAACAGGGCCGTCTTCTCCATGCTTGCCTCCTGATACCCTCATCATGTAACGTTGGTGAGATCGCAGGAGAACAAATCTTAAAAATGGAAAAGTTCTGATGTTTTATTTCGTCCACATCCTTTCTAACATGGTGCATGTAAGTCCAGACCACAACCCTCTACCTTTTCCCTCTGAATCCCAAGACAATGACTACAGATGGCTTTTATTATGATGACTGAGCTATTACGTCCCATCATTGTTTTGTGTTTCCCAAGTATATAAACAACTTTTAAACAGGGGAAGAATTAAGGTCTATACATGTATAGAATTAGGGTTAGACAAAACAGCTTCAGCCACCAAGTTCTTCCCTACTTGACTGAAGACACCAACTTTGGGGGGCTCCATTTGGCTCTCAAGTGGAAGGCTGAGGACCAAGGATTGGGTGGCCATGAACAAGACATGTAGGACTGAGACAAAGTCTACGCTAGAGGCCAGGAGGGTTCACCTGCAGCCAACAGGCTGAACCTCGCTGGGCTGGGCTCCCACCCTCGTCCCTTGTCTACCTTCAAGTTTTTGGGCTGTTGCCGCAGCTCCATGACGTGCTTCCTGTGCAGCTCTCGTTCCCGCCGTTTGTTATACTCCAGCTGGTTCTCAAGTTCTGTCTGGTGCTGCAGCCGGATCAAGTCCATACGCAGCTTCTGCAGCAAGTGCAGCTGCCGGTATTCTAGCTCCCGCGTCGACTCGTCGTGCCGTATTAGCATGGCATGTTCCATCTCCTTCTGGGTTCTCTTCTTGTTCAGCTCCTGCATTGGGGGGCAAGGAACGCTGATGAGGAGAAGCCTTCCTGTAATGGTCTGCGGAAGTGACCTTGGGAGACAGGGGGAAGAGCCACAGCCAGGGGAATGGTGGGATAAGCAGGAGCTGAGCCCGCAGAAGGAATGGGGGTGTGGCAAATGTCTCAGAAGGGACCCTCCCTAGTTTCTTGAGCTGTAAAGGCAATGGGGGAGAAATGTACTTTCAGACTTGCAAGATTCTGTTAATGTAAGCTTATAATAAAGTGGAATTAGTTCATCTGGGTGTGCTTCCTATCTGGACTACCTCGCAAGGCTGACACTTCCCGAGGAGGCAGCCAAAGCCCACCCTTCACCCAAAGCAACAGCAACATCCAGCAGTGTTCATCTCCAAGAACAACCAGACAGAGGGCTTAGGGACCCCCAAACCCAAGTGCAAAGCTGCTTGCCTTCCCTCATGTTTGCTCCCCAAGAGACTGCATTCAGAGGCTTGCTGGCTCTGACCCTGGAAGTTCCACTCAGCAACTGCAGCCAATAGACCTTTTCTCCCCCATTAAGGGGTCTTTGGGGTGCCTTCAAGTCAGCCTTGACTCCTGGTGACTGCCTGGAAAAGCCCCTGCAGTTTTCTTCTGAAGGTTTTTTGCAAGCTGTTTGCCCAGGTCTTCTTCCTAGGGCTGAGAGAGAGGGACTGGCCCAAGGTCCCCCAGCTGGCTTTATGCCTAAGGGAGATCTAGACCTAGGTTCCCCCACTCCTAGTCCAGCCCTTTTAACCATTAGCCCAACCTGGCTCTTCCCATCAAACTAGACCTTTCCAAGACAGCCTCCTTTGCCTCATCTCACAAAAGGGAATTCCAGAACTTTTCTGCACGCTGGTTGCAAAGTTTCCTACTACTGTCTTGCTGAAACAAACCAAACATCCTGCAGGCATGAAACTGAGCATCAAAGCAGGAATCTGTGGTGCTCTGATGGTGTATTTCTGAAAACTGCCCAGCAGATGGTGCAGGAGCAAATGTGCATTATAGACAGGAGGCTTTAAACTTTCAACGCTTTCCACCAAGGAAACCCATTTAAACCTATCACAAATCAATTAAACCAGAAGATCCAGAATTGAAATATTTAAGGGAGTGGGAAGAAACGATTCTGAAAGGACTACGATCTTCCCGTTTTGCTCCATACATTCCTCGACTTTCCTCCTTTCCAGAGCTTCAACTTTAATTTCACAGAAAGCAGGAGGAGACACGGATTTGTTAACCCCAAAGAATCAGGGACGTTCACGGAGGATGAGCCAAAATATTCTTGAAAAGGCAGCATCCATGAATATTGCCTTGCTACGTACAGCTATCTGGAGTCCCTTCAAACATTTCCCCAATTTTTTATATGTTCTGTCTCTAAGCGGGGCTGCATGGATCCAATATAAAAAAGACACGTATGTTCACATTCCAGTTCATCTCCATGTCAGAAATACTTAGTGTAAAACAAGTATTTCTGAAACTTTTAGCCTTCTGCTCTCCTATTCTGGAGACAGACCCCCCTGAAAACCTGAAACAAATCTTCTAAGTCAGTTTGGCCAGCCATGTTCAGTAAAATAACACACCGATTGTTGTGCCTCGACAAATCCATCGTGCAAATACAATCCGAGGCCAAACTCAATGTGGGAATGTTTGCTTCCTAACTTTCCAATCTTCATTTGCTTTTCTGGAGATGGGTTGGCAAAACCTATTCCCCACTGTGGTGGTCTCACCAGAAGGATATGACAGTGGGCGTGCAAATACACTAACGTAACATACAGGCACACACCAGATGGATAGCTCTGGATCTAATATTCAGAAAAGTAAAAGCTGGTGCGGGAAAGAGTTTCCTACAGCTTCCCCCCCCTTTTTTTTTTGCTGATGACACCAAGGTGGAAAGACTAAAGTTGCGTGTGTGTTTTTTAAATCACCGTTATTTGTTTTACGTTTGCTACTTTTCCCCCCTTTCCTTTTGTTTGCTTTTCAGCATTGAAAACTGAAAAGTTTAGCTTCCTTAAGGCATAATCCGTCCCATTCAAAGTTACAAAACCCTCTCAGAACCAGAGTTTTAAAAGCCCTTTTTTACAAAAGAGAAGGAAAGAGAAACTGCAAGAATAATTCATGCTGTCTAAGAAAAGGCCCTTGCTTTGATCATGTAACCTTTGTTTTTTCCTACTGTTTGGTGGAAATTGTTTTTAATTTTGTTACTAATGTTGAAGGGGCAGCAATTCTAAAAGACTCTGCTCCCCTGTGTAATTGCCCTCCCAACAAAGAAAAGTACTGAGATTTTTACTCAACTAACTTTCAGGCTTCTGCAGTTTCGCCAAATAGTTTCAAGCGTACCTTGATGGAAATTTTAAAACGAAAGCAGAGCCATTCAGGAAAGTGATCTTGAAGAGACTTATTTTACACTATTTCTTTGCTTACGAGGAACTGGAATTATGGATTATTTAGAGCTTGGTTCCTGTAAACACTGGAAAGAGAAAAAGGTGCACTCTTGTTTTTATTAGGGAATTTTGTAATGGGTCAGAATCTCCTAATCACTAAACCGGAGAATATCCTAGTCAGTCCCTCCCAACGATAGTGTGAGGTCCATTTTCATATAATTTTTTAATTAAAAGTTTAAAAAAGAAGATAAAAGTGAACAAGAACTAATATAAAGTTAAAAAAAAAAGGGAGAGAGGAAAAGAAAAAAAGAAAAAAGGGAAGGGTTAGGGTTTTCTGTGCTGCAAAGAAAATCCGAAGCTGCTTCTTTCTATTTCTTTTTATTCTTTCTTTTGGCACTTCTTCCTTTTCTCTTTTCTTTCTTCTAAGACAAAAGTGCCGAAAGAAAGAATGAAAAGAAATAGAAAGCAGCAGCTTCCGATTTTCTTTGCAGCAAATGCAAGTAGTTACCAAATTACATCTTACTCTGTGATTACAAAAAACCCCTCTTTTTTATATTATCTAATTTTTTTTTTCTAATCATCAAAACCACAAATCATAAATTCATTTTTTATGCAGAAAGTCTATAAGGGATGGTCCATTCTCCAAGATAGCATCAGGTTAACTGTGATCAGTCATACATTCTCATTCTCTCTCTCTCTCTCTCTCTCTATATATATATATATTCTAGATAGTTACTTCATACAAATCAGAGATGGAAATGGATTACACTTTTTGAGGGATTCCATAAAGTTATATTGGTTTTCCAGATTTAGAGACATGTTTGACTGAATCCAACTCACCACTAATGGGATTTTTTTTTTCTACTGACTTGATGACATTTGCACACACTGTCTCTGTAATTTGGGTAATGGCCCTTGAGTGCAGATTAGCCTTTTTTTTTTTAATTCTATGAGCAAAGGGGGAGAGAGAGGAGATGGCTCTGGCCACTCCAGAGAGTTCACAGCTGCCCTAAGAACTTAACTAGTGCACAGAGACAATGACTAACTGAAGCTTTGGGGTTTTCGACATTTATAAATAAAGTGACTATACAGGTAGTCCTCGCTTAACGACCATTCATTTAGCAACTGTTTGAAGTTACGACAGTGCTGAAAAAGTAACTTACGACAGGTCCTTGCACTTAGGATCATTGCAGCCTCCCTGAGGTCATGTGGTCAAAATTTGGGTGCTTGGCAACCAGCATGTATTTACAACAGTTGCAGCATCCCGGGGGTCATGTGATTGCCATTTGCAACCTTCCCAGGGGGCCTCCGACAAGCAAAGTTAATGGGAAACCATGTGATTTGCTTAATGGCCATATGATTTACTTAACGACAGTGGTGATTCGCTTAACAACCACGGCAAAAAGTTGTCATAAAATCGGGTGCAGTCACATGATGCTTCGCTTAATGACCACCCCATTTAACGATGAATTTTCCAGTCCCTATTGTGTTCATTAAGCAAGGGCTACCTGTACAACAAATCAGTCTCGCTCTATAGCCATAGGTGTATGCTGGGGGAGTGGCGGATGATGTCATATGTGTCATTACACCATCATGCACATGACATCATTGGGATTTCTCTGGATACTATGCCTTTAACCACTGCTTGGATACTCAGAATATCACACTCAGAATATCCACACTGTGGATACTCAGAATATCAGCGGCTTCCTCCAGAGTTGCAGAAAGGCGTCCTTGTCAGCTGTATCAGAAAATACTCAGGATTGAATTTTTCAGATTTTCTGTCCATTGAGCAAGAGGTCTGAGAGCACCACCTGGATTTAACTTACTGGGTTCCATGCAGTTTCTGGGTGAATGCTAGGAGAACCTTCCCATCAGCCAATCAGTCTGACCAGAAACCAATGACTTGAGAGCAGTACTGGGATCTGCTTCATAGGATGGGATCAAGGGGTAGCCCTCATTCATGGATGCCTTAATTTGAATTCCTGCACAGTGCAAGGCATGGGATCAATCAATCTGGGCCTTCATTACAACTGAAGGAATGTGGAGCGGTTCCCCTCCCCCTCCACACTTCATCTGTGCCATCCTTAGAACATGATGGACAAGACAGAACATGGTTTGTTCAGCTCAGCTGCTACCTCCCGAGATTCCTGAACTGTTGTGGAATCCCCACACGGCAGGACAATACAGACTTACGTGCGATTTCATCCCGTTAGAAGCTAAGGCTGACCAAGAGAATTTCATTTCACTAGAAGTCACCCGCTGGCTCAACCCACCTGTGTAGTTCTTGGGATGATCTGGGGCCAACATATTTGGAGGAGGAGGGCTTCAGCACCTTCAAAAGAGGCTTTGGGGGCACACCAACCCTAGCCATCTCTATTTGCTCTGTATTTCCCCCTCATACTTTTTGGGGGGGCAGGGGAGAAGCAAAGGTTAAAAGAGGAGACCTCACGAATATTCTGCTGCTCCAGCTCATGCCTTCTGATCATAGTTTTCCGCTTGAAGAAACGGCAGTTTTTGTCGTAGTAGAGTCTCTGCTGGCTGAGAAGGTGAGCCTCCTCTTCAGCCTGTGTGTGCTGCAGGTTTTCTTTGTGTTTGGAGATCCTTTCCTGCTTCTCCTTCTTCGGTGTGCTGTGGTCCTCGTTCATCTCCTAGACAGAGGCAGAAGAGAGGCCAGTGACCAAAGATGTTGATTAAAAGTCACCTCCCAGACCAGAAAGAAAACTTGGACTGCTTCCTACTTCTATTTGCAAAACCTCCAGAATAAATCCAGGATCCTCCTCTCATCTCCCCTTCTAACAGGGTTTAAGGCCATTACTCTTTAAGATGCTTCACCTGGCCCACCAGAGCGGTGAGGCTGGGTATGTTGCGGGTCCCATCATTGAGAGAAGTACATCTGATGGGACCATGAAGAAAGGCCTTTCCCATGTTGGCCCCTTCCCTGGGGAATGTTATTCCCTCACCCTGATGTTTTTTTCTGGAAGGCTCTGAAGATGTGGTTTTGCCAGCTGGCTTGGGGATCCCATACTGAAAAGGAGCCAATCAAGTGGTTGTTTTGATTGTGTTTTGGGCCACCATGGTGTGTGTGTGTGTTGTACTGGGGATTTTATTTTGTAAGCCACCGAGAGTCACTGTGTGTGAGTTGGGCAGCCATATAAATTTGTTAAATAAATAAATAAAAAATAAATAACACATAGCATAGAAAAGAATGAGTGAAAATTATGGTGGATTGCAGCAGAGAGCAAGGCTATCAGGAAAGAGGAGTGTATTCCAGGAAGGGAAAGGAGACCAAAGACAACACAGTCCACAGGGGGAGCATGGGAAGCAAAAGAGGTTCACTCTCTAGAATCTACCAGAATCCACTAGTTGCAGTAGTATAGATTTAGTTTGGCAGGATTTTGTCTATATGGTGTAAGCGAATAAAGGAATTGAACTCAACTGGACTGCTTCACTGTTGTTCTTGGGCTAGGTATGACCAAATGGCTTAACGTGGTCCCAGGGCAGAGGAGCACCGAAAGCTAGACCCTGAAATTAGGAACATCTGACTTGACGTAGAGGTTCTCCTTCACCCAATTACAATTCCCAGGAGGAAAGGTGTGACAATTAAAATGCTGGAAGGTGGATGGATGTTTACAATGGATCTTGCTTGTTTCAAGAGAAGAATCAGGTTTTAGTTTGGCAAGAGTGAATGAACAGACAACCTTGAGATGCTGGATTTGGTTCTAAGCTAGCTTAAACCAGCAAAGGGGTGGATTGCAGAGGAAAAGCAGAAACGGGCAGCTACAATTTCACACTGGTAGGGTGACTCCCCAAAGATCATTTTAACCCAGTGTTTCTCAACCTCAGCAACTTTAAGATGGATGGATTTCAACTCCCAGAATCCCCATGGCTGGCTGGGGAATTCTGGGAGTTGAAGTCCACCCGTCTTAAAGTTGCTGAGGTTGAGTAACACCGTTTTATCTCAATCTTTCTTCTGTGGGGGAGGGAGGGGAAACCTTTTTAATTTTAACACATTTTAACACATGGCTTAGTCTAAACTTTACATGTGCTGTTTTGGAGGCTACCATGAGCTCACTGATGACCCGGCTGTTAAAGTTGTTCAGAAATCTCTGCATTTCACTTTTTAATTTTTCCCCATGCTTTCAAGTCACTCTTGACTCCTGGCGACTGCCTGAACGAGTCTGTGCGGTTATCTTGGCAATATTTTTGGATGTGGTTTGCCCTGGCCTCCTCCTTCCTAGGAGAGAGTCACTGGTCCAAGGTCACCCAGCTGGCTTTGCGCCCAAGGCAGGACTAGAACTTCCAGCCTATCGGTCTCTAGTTTAACCACTTTTAACCACTACATCAGACTGGCTCCCTTTACTCCCTTCACTTTATTAGTGCCTAAAGTCCAGAAAAAGTGGGAGTGGCTACCAATCTCTCTCTTACACACAGACACACAGACACACACACACACACACACACTCAAAGCTCTGCATAAAACCAGAGTCAGCTCAACTGCATCCAGAGAGAAATAGTTGCTGCAGATCAAACCACAGAAGAGGGCAACTGCTTGACATCCCAAAACTCTGCAGCCCCCCTTGAAAAGGAAGGGACAAACTCTTTTTAATTTGGGAGAGGAATGAATGAATTTATTTTTATTTACTTGTCGTATTTATATAGCCGCCCATCTCATGTAAAAGTGACTCTGGGCGGCGTACAACAATTAAAGAGAATGAACACCTAAAAAACAATTACAAGTGAAAATAACTATCCAAGCACACAAAACAGGAGAGGATGAAATTAATAAGGAAGCCATTGCAAAATCTCCCCGGTCCCCTGGGGCCCCCAGGCCTGATCGCACAGCCAGGTCTTGAGGGCCTTGAGGAATGTTGAGAAGGATGGAGCTAATCTCACTTCTGGGGGGAAAAGATTCCACAATTTATGCACAGAACTATCTGTTATTTCCTTTATCCGAAGTTATTATGCCAGCATGCCTTACTTAAGGTGTTCATCTGCGTCTTTCAGAAACAGACTATCTAAGAGGCCTAAAGTACAGCAATACAGTAACCCCAATGAAATACCCAATTTATGCATTATCTCAGGACTTTTTTAGAACTCTAAAACATGCTAGCTGATGAAGCCCCAAAGACCATCTAGGAATTCACAGAATTCAGTTTGGAATTTGGGACTTTGGGTTACGTTTAGAATCAATTTTAGGAATTATACTGAATTCAGAGGCAATAATTCCATTGAATTTAGTAATACGTTGAGCATGCTGTAATCTAAAATGCAGGGCTTATTTTGCATGTCCTTACGATCAGTTCAGTATGGGCTTGGGTTTAAAAGCAAAGTAAAATTTTTACCCATGCCCGTTGTTTTTTAAATAAAGCCATCTGCAGGTTAAATAGCCAAGCTGGTTTTGTGCCTCTGGCATAAATGCATGTTTGTGACCAGCACCTAAAGCAAACTTCTGTGAACGCAGTCCAACTTGGAAGATTAAGGTAATTGTTCTAAACGTTCTTTAGCTGTAGGAATTTAGCAAAGCACATTTTTAAAAAATTTTTTTTCGTTAAATGTTAAGAGGCTTTGAACATGCCAGAAGTGTTTGTAAGCAATGGAACTGGGACCTTCAAATCTATCTAAAACTATTGTCTACTCTGATACAGGTAGCCTTCGCTTAGCAACCACTCATTCAGCGACTGTATGAACTTACGACGGCGCTGAATGAGTGGTACTTAGGACCGGTCCTCATAATTGTGTCGGTTGCAGCGTCCCCACAATCATGTGATTATGATCCAGGTGCTTGGTGACCAGCTCGCGATTACATCACAATGTCCTGCGGTCACATGATCGTCATTTGCAATCTTCAAAGTCAATGGGGAAGCCAGCAGGAGGTCGCAAATGGCGACCATGTGACACTGCACTTAACAACAGTGTGGGATCCACTTAACAACAGCAACCAGAAGTGCCAGAATTTCTGCCACTAGATGGCATGGTCATGTGATGTCACGCTTTACAACCACGTCGCTTAGTGACAGAAATTCCGGTTTGGAAATATTTGGATTTTCATTTATCTGCCTGTATTTTATCTCACTTTACCATGTTGTACTCTATATTTTTATTCCTTGCTACATATCTTATATTTATATTTACTTCTTGTAAATTGATAGATACATATTTATATACAAATTCACTTTGGAGGTTTTCTGGCCCAATGGCTATGCTGTTTTCTGGCCTTATGATATGATCTGATTTCATTCTTCTTTAAAGGTTTGGAGTAGTTGCACCATAGACAGTTTGATACAGTGGTTAAAGGCACCAGGCTGGACACTGTGTCTTCTATCCTGCTTTGGACACAAAATTCAGCTGGATGACCTCAGGCCAGTCCCTTTCTCTCAGCTCTAGGAAGAAGAACGCCAGGGCAAACCACTTCCCACCTGAACCCCAAAGTCATCACACCTTGTTCTAGCCTGGCAGTGGGAGTGATGCCAAGTAGCCACTGATGGATTCACAATTAGGGCCACAGGAACTGGGTGACCGTGAGTTCTAGTCCTGCCTAGGCATGAAGCCAGCAGGGTGATCTTGAACCAATCCCTCTCTCTCAGCCCTGGGAAGAAGAAGGCCAGGGCAAACTACTTCCAAAAAACTTTGTCAAGAAAACTGTAGGGACTTGTCCAGGCAGTCGACAGGAGTCAACACTGACTCGAAGGCACCAAAATAATTTTTTTAATATATAGACAGACAGATAGATGATAGACAGACAGATACATAACAACTTCCACAAGGGAAACCATTACTATTTTCATTCAGTGTAGTAAGTATCTTTACCATAATGCCAGTCTCAAAGATACAGAGTAGATTCTAGAGCAGTGTTTTCCAAACTTGGCAACTTTAAGATGTGTGGACTTCCACTCCCAGAATTCTCCAGCCAGCACACATGAATTCTGGGAGTTGAAGTCCACAAATCTTTTTGAATTTGAAAATAAGTGAATCTCAGAACAGAGGCAATCTGTATTGTGCCTGGGACAGGATTCTGCGCAATGAACATTTCCCAACAACTCTCAAATAGAAGAAGTGGAATAAACTAATAACAAAGAAAGTCATTTTGCACATGGACCCAGCTCCTGCTGCTGCTGAATTTGACTCTTTTGTTGATAGCTTTCAATAGCTTTTATATAAGTGTGGACAACTGGCCCTGGGGTTGTATTTTATCTTTACTTTTTTCCCCCTGGGAAACATAGGGGAAGGGAAACGTTGATTCCTTCAACTTCTGGCCCTCTTTTTTCCCCATTTTTGGGTAGAACTGGGAGGCATTCTCAGGAAAAAATCTGTGTATTCAGCCTAGCAGAAGTTTTGTCTACCCATTCAGCCTCCGCTTAGTGAAAATTGACAAAAACGATTCAGTGAAAGTTGCCACGATCTTGAAAGTTTGGGGCACTGCAGAAACGCTGCTGCGAGGGGCACAGGTTGCCTGTCACGGCTGTGACACATGGCATTATTCTGAAGCGCAAAGTGCCCCCGAGCAATCACCCACACAGGACACCTGGATCTCAAGGGCACCCAAAAAGCCAGAGCTTCTCTGAATTTAGAAGCAATTAAAAACCTCCTTCTCTAAGGAAGGGCGGGGGGGTTAGCTTAGAGAAGACAGACTATTCAAAACGATGTAATATTTCACTGTTGTTTCCTAATTCATTAAATAGATTAACCACCCAAAGCCGTCAAAGAGGTCAGTAAGTCAGCCTTCCCTGAGAATTCCCTGGTCATTTTGAAAGTTGACTAACCAAGTTGTATTCTTGTGATGATAAAGCCACCAAGAGGACCTCATAGGCCTTTGCAACATTTATTCTCTGGACGTACTGTGGCCTTTGCCCACTCCCCCACCTCCCTCCCCGCAAAATCAGGACAAATTCTCCTTGCCTCTTTAATCTTTTCCTTGCAAATCTTGTATTGCTTCTTCTGACTTTCTAAGAAATTGGTCAGATCTCTCTTCTGCTGAGCCAAAATCTGTTGCTGGAACTTCTTCTCATCTGCTGCTGCTGTCTTAGCCTGTTCAGAAAAAGCGAGAAAGGCTCTTTTAAAAACAAAATCTACCCCCATTTTCGCATCCTTTCTGGTACTCTCAGGTGCACGTCAGCTTGATTCTCCTTCTGGGCTGGAAGATGCTAAAATCATGGTTGGTATTTGGTCACTTAGCACATTGTGCCATCTCCATTATTATTTGAGCATCTGGGGTGAATGAGGCCATAATATTTATTTTATTTTTTAATTTGTATTTCAAAGTTAGATACCGCCGGTCTCACAAAAAAGTGATTCTGGGCGGTTCTTTGTTGGCTTTCGTTGTTGGAACATCATGTGTGAAGATGAAGCCTAGGTTTAGGGTTTGGCCTACTGGGGGAAGTCAGCCTGTCTTTCACCAAATCTCCTACCAAATGCCTTACAGAGCCTGAATAATTTTCAGCATGGCTGTTTCTAGTCCCAAAAGTGAGATCTGCTCTTGCAACAAGAATGTTCACCCTACAAGCATTGCTGCTCTCTCAACCTGCTCCTGAGCTGGATGAGAATTCAGCAGCTCCCGTGTAGAATTAGTGAGTCCTTCTAACCATGCACTGCTCATCCTAACAATAGTTTTCCAACACCCATGCTCCAGATCTGTTAAATCAGACAGAAGACCAGAAGTTAGGACTCCTGAGTCACACCAGCTCCAGCCAAAAGAGCCAGTGGGGAGGACGACAGCAATATCTGGAGTGTGACAGGTCACTCATCCTTAGGTTGACTGAATCAGCATGGGTGACCTTGTGTCAAGGGATGTAAACCTAACAGGTGGCCTTTGCTTCTGAATACAGTCTCCCCAGAAACTGGGAGAGAGGAAGAAGAAGGAACACATGCATCAGCTACAAAACTAAGGAGTGCAACCTTAAATCATTCTTACTGAAAAGCAAGTGCCATGGAGATCATGACATTTTAAAGCCAACTACATTAAACCCATGTTACAAATCTGGAACTCCACTGATGCTTCTGCAGACATGCCCAATCTCTGATTACAGAATTGGAGTCTCTTCTATAAGACATCAACTATTTCTTAGGAGTTCACCAACTGAGCTATGATGCTGTGGCTTATACATTACAAAAAAATTGGTAGATTCATAGCACTGAGGTGGGGTGGGGGCTATATACCACCAAGCCAGCCTCCATTCCCATTTAATGCAAGGAATTCAGAAATGAAATACCCTTACAAATTCTGCTTCAAGATGTCTAAAAAAGGAGAGACAACTAACAACTACAGTACTCCTTGGTTAACAACTACTCCTTGGTTAATAACTACTTTCAAAGTTACGACAGTGCTGAATGAGGAGACTTACAATTGGTCCGTGTAGTTGCGGCCGTTGCAGTGTCCCCGTGGCCATGTGATTATGATTTGGGCACCTGGCAACCAGTGCACATTTATGATGGTCACAGTGTCCCATGGTTACATGATCACTATTTGCAACCTCTACTGCCAGCTTCCGACAAGCAAAGTCAATGGGGAAGCTGGAAGGAGGTTGTAAATGGCAATCATATGACATCACGTGTAATGACCAGACAGGATTCGCTTAATGACCACAACCAGAACTGCTGCAACTGCTGTCATAAGTTGGTGCAGCCATATGATGTCACACTTTACAACTGTGCCATTTAACAATGGAGTTCCTGGTCCCAATTACCGTCGTTAAGTGAGGACTACCTGTATGCTTTATTATTATTTCCTTTTCTTAATGTTCAATTAAAACCCTGTGCTTAAAGCTCACAGTCTTTTAATACCGCCAGCATGGGAGAAAGTAGCATCCCAGATTTATCAGGGACCTCTTCCCAATATGCTAGGTTATAGGTAGTCCTTGCTTAATGACCATTCATTCAGCGACCGCTTGAACTTACAACAGTGCTGAACGAGTGGTACTTGCGACCGATCCTTGTACTTACAATGGTTGCAGCGGCCCCAGGGTCACGTGATCATGATCCAGAGCTTGGTGATCAGCTTGCAATTACAACATTGCAGTGTCCTGCAGTCACACGATCACCATTTGTGACCTTCTTTGCCATCTTCCTACAAGCAAAGTCAATGGGGAAGCTGGCAGAAGGTCGCGAATCACGACCACATGACGTTGTACTTAATGATGCTGTGAGATTTGCTTAAGAACAGCAACCAGAAGTGCTGGCGTTTCTGTCGCTAAGTGGCATAGTCATGTGACATCGTGCTTTATGACTGTGTCACTTAGTGACGGAAATTCTGGTCCCAATTACCATTGTTAGTGAAGACAACTTGTATTTTTTTTAAAAAAACCCTGCTTGTCTCACTTTTCCTCAGAACTGAAGATAGCAAATTGTAGGAACAAACTCTACTAAATAGATTTCTTTTGTTCTTGATTAGTTTTTAGTGGCTTACTATATTGTGCAAACCGTCCCATTTGGTAAGTTTACGATTCAACAGATTGTGTGTACACACAGAAAACAGATTCTTTGTTAAGTGTGGTATGAATCCAGCACAGAGGCCATTCTATAGACAATTTTTTTTTACAATGGGGAACATTCTTCTTATTCACAGCTTACTATTCAAACACCACATTCTGTGGCAGGAAAGCTTTGTTTGGAAGGATGACTTATCAATATTAAAATATACATTATTCTGCAGAAAGTGTGACTAATCTCTGAAACAGGTCTTTAAATTGCTGGATCCCAAACCCAACAGGGAGAAAATGGGAGTAATGTCCCATTTCTGGAAATGGGGGAGGAAGGAGCATCTCCATGATGAACCTGGTCTTTTGGAGCATCCTCTTCTTGGAAGCAAGATCAGCTCCATTATTAATGCCTTCTGGAAGCTAGTTAAAACCTAATTCTTCTAAAAGGCTTTGGGCAGAACTGGGACAACAGCAGAGTTGCGCTACATGATTTTCATGTTAATTTAACTTAATTTTAACTTTAATTTACATGGGACTTGATTGCTAATTTATAACAAGGGTGGACCACCAAGAGTTGTGAGATGTGATTGAGGACCTGTTTTTTTTTTTTCCTGTTCTATGTTTGTTTTTTAAGGTTGTACGAGTCTTATGGAGTTGGGTGGCCTCCAAATCACTAACTCTGCAGCATATGCATTGGACCAGCCAGCAGACATCCTGACTCACCTCCTTTTCTATGACGGCCACCTGTTTCTTGGCTAGCTTCTCCAGCTCAATGGACGAGTTGTTGGCGTGCGTCTCCACCTCTTTCTGCAGCTTGAGGCGGTGCTCGTCCATTTCAGCCTTCAGCTTGTTCTCCAGGGCGATCAGCTGCTTCTGGTGCTGGCGCCGCATCCGCTTATATCCTGACATCTGTTCCCGCAACTCGTTCTCCTGCTCATGCTCATGGATCTGCCTTGTAACCTGAGGTCATCCAAGAGGATTGAAGGAAAAAACAAAGTTAGCTTCTGCCCGGGGGAGAGAGGTCATGAATGTGGATGCCCCGTGCCTTTCAAGTCCAACTCTGTCGTGGCAGAGAGCTCAAACCACGGGCCTGATAGGATGCTGTGTTCCAGGAGAAACCTGTGAAGACCCAATCCAGAAACAAGGAGCAAGGCTTGAGTTTTCTGGTTCCTCCTGAGCAACTTATGACTTGTTCCGACATAAAAAGGAATGGGTTGGGCCAAAGCCTATCTTACTTCCAGCGCATCGGCTTCTAACTCCAGGCACACCCATCTTTTGCTTTGGACCCATTCATTTCAGTAACAGGGAAGCAGATGGGGACAGATTGTGCAGAAGGGCCATGAACCACTCGCTGCACCCAATATTCTGCAATGCTTATTATGTCTTTAAAAGTACAAGGAGCCACCATGCATATTCGTGAGGGCGTCTGTTTTATCTAGTGGCAGCCTAGAAATAATCTTGGGAAAGTCAAAAAAGACAGGGAGGGAGGGAGGGAGGAAGGAGAGGAGGGAGAAAAGAGGAAGGAAGGAAGGAAGGAAGGAAGGAAGGAAGGAGAGTATCTGACTGAATTCCAAGCCCAATGTAGCAATTCTGTAAGTTTCTGCCAGCTACTGAAAATTCAGGAGGGTGATTTAAGCTCCTCCCAGACCTTGAGTTGCCACTGTTTTCCACTATTATTGGACCAACAGTGAGAACATTCTGCCCTCAATCCTTGTAATGAAGAAGACCCATGGAAAGATAAATCAATGTAACTATACATCTTGAGCTAGGATGGAGTTCCACTACATCTTGTAGTGTTTGGGAAAAGGAATTTACAAAGAGAAAATGCAAGCAGTGGCTCCAGAAACACCAGACTGTCTGACCACCATGCTCCCTCATTAAAATGATTCTGGAGCCACACAGCTCCATCTCAGAGAGTTCAGAAAGTCATTGTTATTTTCACTCATACTCAAGATCTACCTAACCTTGCTTGTTGCCTAGACCTTACCCTTGTCTGATGTCCTGCCTGATGGATAACTCTAGATCTATGAGCTTGGTTGAGTCTTTCTATATCCCAAAGATGGGCAACCAAGCCCACTGTGGGCTATGTGCAACCCTTGACAACCAATAGCAGAGCCTGCAGATCCATGGGAACCTCTGCTCAGTCTCCTTGCTGGTCAGTTGATCAGCACAATTGCAATTGTGCTGCTGCTGTGGATCAGTTGGCTGGCAGACAAAGCCGCTCATCAGCTGATCACTGGGAATAGATCACTAGTTTCCTGCTGCTAATAACAGTGAGAAACCAGCAATCTGCTCTGGGAATGCTGGAAGGAGGGAGAACAAGGTTTCCTTCATCCCACATGGCAGCCTTGCTTAAAATTGGCTGGTTTTGCACAGCAGGAGAGCAGCAACTCAAGCAGGGTGACTAGATGGAAGGGGAAGTCTCGTTTCTTCCCCTTTTCTCCCAGCGAACCTTTCAAAATTGCAAAGAGGGGGAAGATGATGAATATTGTGTGTTTGCGTGTATGTGTGTGACAGAGGGAAAGAAGGAGAGGGGAACTGAACTGACAGCCAATGCAGTTCTCAGAACTGAAAATGTTGCCCACCCATCATTTGCATGACAATGCAAATACCTAAGGCACAATCCATGTAAATGTATTTAGAATTAAACCCATTGTACGCAATGAACTTTACTCTTTACACAAGTATGTGAAGAATTTTAAAGAACTAGCTTGGGTGCCCAACTGAGCTGGAACGCCGGGAAGTTTCCATCATTCCCTGTCCCACCTATTGGCATTCCTAGGAAGGGATGAGAATTTAATTCAAACTAAACATCTTGTGTTCAAGGACAAGAGGAGTTCAAACAATATCTGAAGTCACAAAGACTGCCGCTGATCAATCTCTACCATTTTTAGAGATTCTGTCCTTTGATGTATGAAAGGGAGCCACAAATGTTGTTAATTTGTTCAATTTTCACTTGCATGCGATGGCTGGGAGACACACGGGTACAAGTAAAAGAATCCACAAGGCATTTGTGGGGAAGTAAATGCAATGTTGATAGCCAACTTGCTATATGATCTACTAGATTATGAAGGGCTTCCAAGTAAGCAGCAATCACTTCAGAGCAGAAGTGAGGCCTATTTAATGGTGCAGACCCTCAAGGCCTCTCCCAGGCCCCACTCTTCGGTTGGGGGTGAATCTTTTGATAGGGCGGTGATTTGCTCTGACGTCTAGTTCTCATACAGCATTTTGGTCTCCCCTTGGCCAGAAATATGGGAATACAGACTGTTGGTCACAACTTCT